GAGGTGGAAAATCTGGAGGTGGAACGTCCGGAGGTGGGAAGTCTGGAGGTGGAAAGTCCGGAGGTGGGAAGTCTGGAGGTGGAACGTCCGGAGGTGGGAAGACTGGAGGTGGGAAGTCCGGAGGTGGGAAGTCTGGAGGTGGAAGGTCTAAAGGTGGGAAGTCTGGAGGTGAAAAGTCTGACTCTAAAATGGATAAAACTGACGAAAATGCTGCCAAACTTATGGACAACGATCTTGAAGACCCAAATTCAGAGTGTGACATTGGTATGATTGGTTGGGGAAAATATTTACAGATTTGAAAACACAATACTCCTTTCAATTTTTTCTAGATCCAAATAATCAACAGATAAACCAATCGCATGTTGGTGATGGTGATCGTGATGATGGTGATGGTGATCGTGATGATGCTGGTGGTGATCGTGATGACGGTGATGGTGATCGTGATGATGGTGATGGTGATCGTGATGATGGTGATGGTGATCGTGATGATGCTGATGGTGATTGTGATGATGGTGATCGTGATGATAGTGAACGTGATGATAGTGAACGTGATGATGGTGATGGTGATCGTGATGATGATGATCGTGATCGTGATAATGGCGAGGATGGCAATGGTGATGGTGAGAGTGATTGTGATAATGGCGAGGATGGTAATGGTGCTGGTGATCAACAGGAAGATAATGGATGCGGTGAAAATCAAAAAATTGATGCTGCAGAAGAAACTCCACCAGCTAATCCTGATGATGAAATGGAAGGAGTACGTTCATTCTTTAGTCCAATATATCAATAAGAGAATAGGTTATTGTTTTCTATGTAATTGATAATTTTTATTTTTATTTAGGCTGCCTCCAGTAAACCTTCTGCTGGAAAGTCTGGAGGTGGAAAGTCCGGAGGTGAGAAGTCTGGTGGTAGAAAGTCTACAGGTGGGAAGTCTGGAGGTCAAAAACCTCGAGGTAAAAAGTCTGGAGGTGGAAAGTTTGGAGGTAAAATGGATAAAACTGAGAAGCATGCTGTCCAACTGATGAAAAACGGTCTTGGAGGCCCAAATTCAAAGGGTTGTCTTGATATGATTGGTAGGGGCAAATATTTACAGATTTGAAAACACAATACTGCTTTCAATTTTTGCTAGATCCAAATTATCGACCGATAAACCAATTGCATATGGTGTATCTACAATTTGTGAATGGTGCTGGATGTATGCAAACCACCGTTATATGTCAGTTTTATCAGCAAATAGGTATTAGCCAACGAGGAATAAGTAAGTAGTTATGAATATTAAGTATTTGTTTTTTTTATGTTGAATTATTTAGTGTGTGCACAAAGAGCTATCCAAAGAATCAATCAATTTAATAATGGCACAGCTAACTTTATAAATTTAATGGCTCTTCTCTGTTTAATAGCTCAAATTTGTTAAGAAAATCTTAGCAAACCTGAATAAACTTTTCAAGTTTAATTAATGAGCATTAAGAGTGTTTACTTTTCAATAACATTATGCCATTTTTGCTTAGGGTGTGGGTGTGGGTGTGCGTGTGAATGTGGGTGGGTGTGGGTGTGGGTGCACTCTAAAAAAAACGGTTTGTTACCGAACCTAAAAAGGATCTTATCCTCAATACACGGTAAGATCCTTTTTTGGTTTCGCAAAAAGAAGGTTTCGTGCGAAGACCCTTTGCGAAAATTCAAAGAAAGGTTTCGTAGTAGTGGTTTCGTACCAAACCTCTCAAAAACTGTTCAAAGAAAAGGTTTCGTAGCAATGGTTTGGTACCAAACCTAAAAAAAACAATTTAAAAAATGTTCCGTACAAGATGATTTCCACTAAACGTTCTTCTAATTGTCCGCCCAGTCAAAAATTTCATTTAATCTGATGGTGCCGTCCGTGGTATGCATACTATTCGAGTATATCTGAAAACCCAAGTATGGTATATATGTCGCAGTTGGTTAGAGAATTTAGTTGAGATTGGAATTCATATAAATATAGAAATAATATCTATATCTATATTTTTAATTAATAGGAAAGAAAACAGAATTGGTAAATTTAGGAGATTATTTCACATATAATAGATAAATTATTCTTTTTTACGAGAGACAAAGTAAAAATATGAATGCTTTAAAATATATTATTAACTTAAAAGAATAGTTTATATAGAATATAAGGGAAAAATAATATGGCGGTTGTTTATATTAATTTGATTATTTATTTATTTTATTGATGAGCGGGACATGCGGGACATTGAAATTTGTATTAGATAAAAATATACAATTTTTTTGTCTTAGAAGATAGATAGATTTTATTTCGATCAGCGGGACATGCGGGACATTGAAAGGAGGGGGGACGGTTTGCACGTAAAACGGCCCTAAATAAAAATCATTTCAGAACACTTTATAAAATTGAATTTCATCTTCCTCTAAGCACGAATAAAGCATCTCGACCTATTTCACACCATCTCCAGAGAGCTATCCTAGACTTTTCCAACTACGACATAAGCATTATCCAGTTCTCAATCACCCTCATAGGTCAATCGGGTTAGTTAACCAAATCAAACTCATATTATCAGGGGAGATAGAGCTTTCCAAGAGCTACAAAATGATCACAAATTGTAAAGGAAAATATGCTGCCCTCGAGAATTTCCAAAGATCACACTGTTTCAGTTCTACAGGAAATCCCACTGTTGGGATAGTATGGTCCATACAATCTTGAGTATCGTTCCTGATACCACCGTCATTATTTGAGTGCAGATAGAGTTTTTCAAGAGCTACAAAAATGATCATAAATTGTGAAATAAAATATGTTGTGCTTGAGAATTTCCAAGGACCAT